TTTAGATATACAATCTCTAACAGTGCTATGTTTTCTTCTAATTTGACGTCTTTTACCGTTATAATAACAGTTCTCAACTTTTGCAATAGCCGCGGTACTATCACAGTGGATCAACACAGCTGGTATAGGTTTTTCCCATAAGGGAATCTCAGCTAGCAAGCATCTTAACCAACTTGCTTCTTCACTAGCTGTAGCTAATGCTATCATCTCAGACTCCATTATGGACTGTGCCAGAATGGTCTGTTTCTTTGATTTCCAAGATACATCTCCTCCGGCTATACTAAATATATAACCACTAGTAGCTTTGGAATCATCCGATAAGGTGTTCCAATCTGCATCACTGTACCCTTCTAGTACAGCAGGAAATTTCTGATAGTGTAGGCCGAGGTCCATAGTCCTTTTAAGGTACCTCATTACTAGCTCAATAGCTTGCCAATGTTCGTTACTCGGCTTACTTGTAAATCTGCACAACAATCCTACGACATATGCAATGTCGGGTCTAGTACAATCAGTGGCATACCTAAGACTGCCAATGATGCTCGCATATTCTGCTTGTTTGACACTTTCTCCAGTGTTCTTAAATAGTTTCATACTTGGATCATACGGAGTGCATGTAGGTTTACAATCAAAATATTTATATTTCTTTAAGATCTTCTCTACATAGTGAGATTGATCCAAAGAAATTCCTTGTTCGGATCTCGTGATCTTGATACCCAGGATCACGCTTGCTTCTCCGAGGTCTTTCATATCAAAGTTATTGCATAACAATGATTTCATATCATTAATGGCCTGAACGTTTGATCCAAATATAAGTAGATCGTCTACATATAGACATATGATAGTACAAATGCGATTCTCAGATTTGTAATAAACGCACTTGTCACTTTCATTCACTTTGTACCCATTAATTATCATTAAGTTATCAAACTTTTCATGCCATTGTTTAAGGGCTTGTTTTAGTCCATACAGAGACTTATCTAACTTACAGACCTTGCTTTCTTGACCTTGGATTACAAACCCATTTACAATCAATTGGTTTGCAACCCGGGGGTATGTCTACTAAGTGCCAGGTCTTGTTAGATTCTAGAGAATCTATCTCATCATTAATGGCTTCTTGCCATAAGTCTGCATCCATAGATGACAGTGCTTCTTGAAGTTTTATTGGATCTTCTTCTACATTATAGGCCGCATAATCGGCCCCATATTCTTTAGCAACTCTTGCTCTTTTACTTCTTCGAAGTTCTGTTTCTACTTTGTCGCTGCTTTCAGTGCTTTTTATCACAGGAATGTGACTCGATTGTGTGCCCCCACTATTTCTCGATTTAAAAGGAAATTTGTCTTCAAAGAATTCAACATCGTTTGATTCTATGATTACTCTGGCATTTAGGTCATAAAACCTGTATGCCTTACTATTTGCTGCATACCCAATGAATGCGCATTCATAGGCTCTACTAGCGAGTTTAACTCGTTTCGGATCCGGAATTCTGACATAAGCCAGACAGCCCCAAGTTCTTAAATAAGACAAATTTGGTTGTCTTTTCTTTAATATCTCATAAGGTGAGATCATAGTTTTTGACTTGGGAATTTTATTCAGGACATAGCAAACAGTCAATAAAATTTCCCCCACCAGTGAGGTGCAGCACCAGAATTTAACATGATTGCAACTACAAGTTCAGTAAGAGTCCTATTCTTTCTTTCTGCTTTACCATTCATGTTTAGCAGTTCTGTAGCTACTGTAGTAGTCGTACAGATCATCAGCAAGGTTGTTCAGAAGGTGATTTTTGCACAGATAATCATTCTCGTGCCATAAGGCGATTTCTTTTCGGAGTTGTAGATCATTTGCTGCAGCCTTAGCTTTTGCAGCATCTGAGTCAAGGCGTTTTGGAAGTCCCGTCTGAATCTGCAAGTGAATTATCTTTAGAGGGACAGCCGGGATATCCTCAGTCAGAACGTGGGCAACCTTTTTTAGAGTTAAGAAAAACTTCATCTTAGCTTGCCAACGTTTGAAATTGGAACCCTCAAACCTGAAAGGTTTGTCAGAGACCAAAGCGGCCGCAGTAGTATCGATAATTTCCTCAGTTGTCATGGCAGTTATCATAACGTCTTAAAATTGTTGTTTTCGGATTTGAAATATTGGCACAAGGAAATTATCGGGACGAGTCGCGTATTAGGTCGCTTTCTTTAAGACGTTTCGCCGTACTGCCAAAATATGCGGTCAGAAATACCAAAAAAGGAACTTTATAGATGAAGAGAATTTAGGGAGAGAAGAAGGAAATCAAAATTCGTGTGAACTTGTGAAATCCGGAGTGCTCACTACTGAATTTATACCCTTTATTTATAGGCAGCTAGTGAGGTTGATATTTCCATTCCTCCAATGTGGGACTAAAATGAATCTTGTCAAATTCACTTTCCAATTCCCATTAATATCATTCCAACATCCAATGTGGGACTAAAATGAATCTTTTCAAATTCACTTTTCAATTCCCATTAATATAATTCCAACATCCAATGTGGGACTAAAATGAATCTTTTCAAATTCACTTTTCAATTTCCATTAATATAATTATTATAGTTCCAACAAGTTCATAGGCTAAATAAATGGTTAAAGTTCTAACCCGACAGTGATCATCTGTCATTGGTTGATTGGAACGTATTATTTGATGCAAATCGGTGTCCATTAACTCAGAAACAATGTACACATCATTGAAGTTCTCCTTCTGCGGAGGTCGTATAATATCTTTAATGGACATCACCTGCATCGGAAAATATTTGATATTTGATACGTAAACACTAAAAGCCAACATTTTCGCATATTGAACACCAAAAATCCAAGCCTGGAATTTCATTAAGAATTACATTTTCATGATCCATGTGGCGAGTACCATAATAAAAAACACAACCCCTCTTTTCCTAAAACAAGCGAACTCTTAGAACAAACACCCATTCAAGCTAAAACAACCTAGGAGGTTCCCATCGAGTACGATGGATGCGAGGGGGTGCTAACACCTTCCCCTTGCATAACCGACTCCCGAACCCTAAGACTTGGTTGCGATGACCACGCTCTTTTCCCTAAAGGTTTTATCGCTATTTCCCTTTCCCTCCTTGGGATAAATAAAATCTGATGGTGACTCTGTGTCATTTTTCGCGTAGCGACACCATCCATGTTAGTTTTATTTTTTAAGACTCATTTGCATCCTATATCTTTAGCTCATACAGAAGACTCTACCATGGTCCAAACCAGGTTTATATACATGGAATTCATTTCAGATTTCATGGCCTCTAAACACCTTTCACACTCAGGACCAGTTATGACCCCTTGGTAAGTCACGTGTTCATCTTGATCCAAGAGTAATACATCACCTTGATCATTTATAAGATATCCATATCTTTCAAGTTGGTGACGTATCTTGTTTGACCTACACTTGTCTTGTTCTACTTGAGCAAGTTACTCTTCCACAACTTATTGTGTTTCCTAATCTAATTCTTATATAGTTGTGTCACTACTTTGTGATTCTTGACTTTCTTCAAGCTCTACTTTCCTCCTATTAATTCCTTTGTTATTTTCCAAGAATACTCCAGTTTGAGCGAAATACATTTTTCCTACTTTCTGTTAGAACAAGATTTGTTTATGACATATATCCCTTAAGTTTTGATGATAAAAAAGTATCGAAAGAACAATAGTGTTATCTAATGTATGTTATAAGTATGCTGGTTCCAAAGCTTAAGGACTATCTACTCATAATCTATTAAGAGAACGCATTTGAGATAAGCTGAGTTCTTGGCTTCTAATGGTTCAAAATTGAAGAATGTTCTTAAGTGAAGTCTGATGATATAGGATTACGTAGACTCTGAAGCTATATGTATCAGCATCAGAAGATAAATATGTTATATCTACACTTATTAAATGAATTAGCTTCTGGTCATCATTAAGAACCATAGACAAAGTTAAGTGATCTGTACTGCATAAAGCAAGCTACAATGTCAAATCAATTTGTCAGCTAGAGCATGTGTTCACATGGCTCAAGGAAAGTTAACATGCTTTACGGATATTCACTCTCAACGGATCTATAGTACATCTCACAAGGAATACGATACGGTTAAACAAGTTTCATATTGGATAAAGATCATTTTATGTATCTATCTTCAACATCTTTTAGTACTATGGAGTAACAAAGACACTTGTACAAGTTATCTCTTCCGACGGCTATTCTTTTGTATCTGCTATTTAAGTAGCTGAAGATTCAATCTAGATTAACAATAAGGAATAAAGAAAGAAGTCCAAGAAGAAAAGAAGTGTCTCACGCTTCTATCAACATGAAAGAATAACAAGATCAACAACAGCATCGAGTATGTAGAGTTTTTGTTATCTTTTGTAAATTTTACAAAGCCTTTAGATTTCTTAAACAATGAATATCTTAGAAATTTTAAGTGTTATGATCTTTTTATAGTTATTCCCATGTACCTCAGATTGTATATCAACTACACCTTGGATTTTATTCTGCTAAACAGGTTGTTTAGTAGTTTAGAAATAAAGTCTTTTGTTATGTGCTTGAGCATCAAAGTCTCTTACTGTGAGCTTAAGCCAAGTAACTTTTCTGCTATGTGCTTGAGCATTGAAGTCTTGATCAAATTATTGATTTAGCAAGGAAGTCTTGGAATGTATATCTAAGCAAGAAAGTCTTGGATTCGTGGAATCTAAGCAGGAAAGTCTTATATTTGAGGGTTTGAGCAGGAAGTCTTTAATTCGTGGGATTTAAGCAGGAAAGTCTTAGGCTCTGAGCCTGAGCATAAAGTCTTGTACTGTAGGGTATAAGCATGAAAGTCTTAGGATCTAAGGATCTAAGCAGGAAGTCTTGATCAGGTTCTGATTGAGTAGGCAAATCTTATGACAATGTATAGGTTTATGAATTAGAGAAATTTGAAAGTACCTTGTCCCATAAATGCGGGTTGGTTTTTTTATAAACCATTACCACTTTGATTTGAGTTGGGTCCTCCATTTTCTACTTGCAATTCAGATTCGTTTGAACCCGAACATATCGACTAGCAGTCTCATTTGTATCCTCGTCTTGTATTGCATTAGACAAGTAATAGATAAACGGTTTCTGACAAACATTTCGGATGACGGGGCGCGTGTTAAACGGATAGGCAGTGTAATCGGCTCGCTTATACCAATTTAGGAAAGTCCTTGCTGGCATCTCCATCTCTCTAGCCGAGAAAATGCCACGGAAAATTTGAACCGCGTAGCCCCATGACACGGATATGGTCCAATTACGTGACTTGTCGTAGCAAATGGATTGTTGGATGAGTCCGGCCGGGTCCAAATTCATGGGCTCAGTAAGACGCTTTAGGGCTTGGATCCGGCTAGCATTCGGAAAGATGGGCTCGACTACGTCTAAGTGGTGGAGAGATACCAATGGCGCAATGGGATGGGCTGCAAGAAGCCCAAAGAGATTCCCATATACATCAAACTAGCAAAATCAAACACAAAACATAACAAACCAATGTCAAATCATGTTCAAGAACAAGTATAATAAATAATGAACAACAAAAAAAATGTTTTTTTATACAATCAGTGTCTGGTGTTTGATATGGTGTCAGTGTCTGGAATAACAACTATCTATACCAACCAAAGTAGTAAACTAAGAGAAAACAAAAATATGACTAAGTTGATTAAAGGAGACAACGTTTTAGGTGAAGTGGAAAAAGGGACAAGGGGTCTTATATTATATTGCCGACATAGTATGATTAGGGTTAACCAATCATGGAGGTGATTGTGGCTTAGATATTCATGATGGGATTATGACGTGCTTAAATTTGAATGGTGTGAGTACAACTACACCAAACACAATGCACATTAAAAGCAAAATAAAGTGACACGTAAATGCTTCTACTATATTAAATATTTCTCACAAAATGAAGCATCTTAAGAGCAACTCTAGTTGTGCGAGTCCTTAACTATCCTTCAGAATTTATCATTGCAAAGGAGTGGAAGTAATATATTAGGATAAAAATAATTTTATAGAAAAGATAATGAATTTAAAATATGCATAGAAAGGAGTGAATGGATAAGAATTATTTAAAATGAATTTTACATTGATATAACTAGTTTAAAACCAAAAAAATAAATCAAAATGACATCACACTTTTGTGAGTTATTGCGACTGAAATTAATCTGTAAATAGTGATAAATGATCTAGACCATATAGACTACAGTAATCCAAAGCAATTATTTAAATCTTTTGAATGGCATCTAAAAGAAAAACATTTCATTTAATGTTAGTAGTACTATACCTATCTATGAGTAACTTCTAGCATCTAACTTGTTTGTCTTTTTTGCTTTACTTTTACAAGTTTTTTTTATGATTTTATTACATCTAATCTTAATGGTTATTACTTGTTTCATCCATTACAAGGTAGCACATTTTTTTTTGACCTTACTTGATTATTAAATAATATTGCATCTGCCTCTCAAATTTATCCAAGTCATAAATTATCCTAGGAAGGTTAATTGCATAAAAAAATACATCAAAATTCTTCACAAATTGACCATTTTTATGTAAAAAATTGAGAAAGCAAATTCCATTGTACTGTCACTCATATTAAAACATTAAATAAATAAAAATTCAAACACGTTATTTTTCAAATAAAAAACTTACTACTCAATTAATTAATAACATTTTTTTTAACATCTAACAACCAACCAGTATAAAAACATACAACTTGCAATTTAATCCTATATAGTGAGTTATCATCATACTATTTTGTCAAAAAAGATAACCCAATTGACTAAAAAAAAAAAAAAAACTCCACCTAATTTTCCATTTCTAATTTTAGATATTTTATAATAAATCATACAAATAAAAAAAATCATTTTTTTTCTTTTTTCATTGAGTTAGATTTTCTTCTAAATCTTCACATAACTAAATTTCCATTTTCACTCAAGCTAATAATATCTATAAATAAAAAATCTACGTGAATTTACATTTCAACCCCTTATTCCTTGTCAATCATCAACTAACTTAAAAATTCACCAAACTATAATTTATCCACTATTTTTTTTACCAATCATCTATTCCAATATAGATCAGATACATCAATTATTTAATAAAATCATCAGATACATCAGTTATTCAATAAAATCATCGGTACTAACCTGATGAAAGCCTTTTTCCTTAGTAAGAGGAACACCAAGCTCAGCCATACAAGCTTGAATCCTATCATCAGAGCCATACAAACCAGGATACCTTTGAATACACCTATCTTGCATTTTCTCCAAAGCCACAGCCAAAGGATAGCTTATCGCAAACCCACCACCACCAAAAGCCATATTATAAGAAAAGTAAATATTCTGCAAATGACTCTCTGAAGAACTCCCAATATAATAAAACTCATTATGATCATATTTCTTCAACACATTTACCAAATTCTCCCCAACAAAAAATGTATCATCGTCTCCCATTCTTCATCCCGACCCGCACCGTCTCCGACACAATCCTTGATATATCCTTATAGCTGACCTATGACCCTTGGAGTTTTTGTACTTGAAATTCGCTGTGTCTTCGGAGATCTTCAGGACGGGTAAGAGGTCTTTGTCTTTGGGATCTGGTTTCACTTTTTGTTCTAGCCAAACAATGCCGCGCATTTGGTTTGGTTTGTACCAGAGCTTGATGTACTCTTTTCTCTTTTTCCATAGTTTCGCTGATGCGCCGATTCCGAACACTATGTGAGAGATGTTGGTAGGTGTTTCTAGCTCTTGAAATGGGTTTTGTGTTTGTGGTTGGAAATTTGTGTGGCTATTATGGATAATGGGTATGATTTCGGGGTTTTGGTGAGTTTGGTTGTTACCACAATCGTAGCTATGCGTAACGAATCTGAGAGAGTAGAAAAGGTATGAGATTGAGATTAGGAGGAAGAAGAAGGTTATTAGCTTTGAGAAGGTTATGGATGAGTGAAGATTGTTGTGATCTGGGTCTTTGAAAGTGTTCTTCATGTTTAGAGAAAATGGGTTGTGTGAGATTTGGGAAAGTTTGAAAGGGTGAAATGAAAATAACCAGAGAATAAAGGGACATGGGAATTACGAGAAAGTCTTTGGAATTTTGAGGGGAAAAAATGTCAAAGTAAAAGAACCGTGTTTATGGCAGAGTACAAGTATGTTGTAGTGCTAAGGGAAAACACTGGCGTGTGTAGATTTCTACACAAAGAATTAGGAGACAGAGTATTTGGATGTATACTATACTTAGAAAAGTTTAACATATTGAATAATGAATGTATTTTTTAAAAATTAAAAAAATAATAATATTTATAAAATTTAATCAATTTAATTTTTTATTAATATTTTACTGTAATTTATAAAATATAATATATATAATATATAAAGAGAATATTTTAATATTCGTGAAAGGTTAATAAAAAAAAAATATATATTCTTCATCTTTTGGTGTGCAATTTTTGCTTTTTTCTTTGCTAGGTATTAGAGTAAAGATGAAAAAAAAAAAAGGACTAAGATATTTTCTACATTTAAGATGTATGCATGTTTATTTATTTTTCCAAACTTAATTATATTTGTTTGAATTGTAAGAATTTACAAAATTATTACGTTGTAGACAATATTGGAATATTGTGATTAAGTGTGGAATATTTTATTTTTTTGTAATCTTTAGTGGGTCTAGTTTTTGGTTAGGAGTGTTAGGTTAAGCCCTATGTAATTGTATAGTATTTAAAGCTAACACTTCTCACAATTGTAACCAACTTCTCTTTTCTACCACCAATATTATCATTTGCTTAATTTCTAGTTTGCACAGAGTGCTCAATATTTGAAGTATGATTTACATTCTTCACCACTTATATGATATTATTTGCGGAATTGATCCTCAACGCTTCTAACGTTGTTCATCTCTGATTCACCTCATTACTCACTTTGCTTCATCTTGGTTCAACAATGGCTGAATCTGAAAATCAATAATCTGCGAACAAGGAGCAATCATACGGAGTTTCAATTGTGTTTACAACGGTGAAGGTTGTGTACTTTTTTGGCCATAAGCTTTCCATTAAACTGCAAGAAAACAATTATCTACTGTGAAAACAACAGGTCGAAGGTGTGATCCTAACACAGAAAATGCACAAACTGGTTGTTAATCCTCAGATTCTGTTGAAATACAAAACGGCTCAAGATTGTATCGAAGGTACGATTTCTAAAGAATACGAAGCTTGGATTGTACAAGACCAAGCCATTTTCATCTGGTTGTTATCCATTATTTCTGAATTTGTTCTTCCTAGGGTTCTTGTGTGCAAGCACGCTTTTGAAGTTTGGGACAAGATTCATCAGTTTTTCAATGCTAAGATGAAAGCTCGAGTTCGTCAACTTCGTGTAGAGCTCAGATCTGCCAAGAAATGGAACAAGACGATCAATGAATTTGTTCTATGCATCAAAGCGATTGTGAATTCTCTTCTTGCAGTTGGTGATTCTATTACTGAACAAGATCGAGTAGACTCGATTCTTGATGGTTTGTTGGAAGAATACAATTCGTTTGTTATGCAGATGTACGATTGTCATACACCTCCCACACTGTGTGAAGTTGAAGCTCTCATATATGTGCAAGAAACGGAACTTGACAATTCCATCAAGAATTGGCCACCTCAAATGTGGCAGCCAATGTTGTTCACACAAGTTCTGCAGAGAATAGCTTCAGAGGGGCATACTCTGACTATCGTGGCCGAGGAAGAAGATCTAGTCGCAGGCGCAATCGTGGCAGTGGTAGAAATCCAACTGCTAATAGACCTACATGTCAACTTTGTGGGAAGTATGGACACACAGTTAACACGTATTGGCATAGATTTGATGAAAAATTCATGTCTCCTCCTTCATCCAATGCTCAGGCCAATGCTGCAAATGACTCAACTTCAACTCATGGCTCTAGTCAAGTTGCTGCTCAAAACTCTAAGATTGTGGCAATGATGGCCACCATAGGCAGACCGCACCCTTATACTCAAGAATACTCCTTACCTGTAGAATTGGAGTCTCAAGCTTGGTTTACTGACTCGGGTGTATCTCATCACTTAACCCCTTATGTTTCAATGTTATAATCCAAACATGAGTGTGTTGGCTCTAACAAGGTTTATGTGGGCAATGGCCAAACTCTTAGCATTGAGTCTGTAGGTTCTACATAGGTTTATTCTAAGAACAATCTCAATTATAAGCTAATGCTCAATAATATGTGTTCTTTGAATTTTTGTCTAACACATGATAGGCTTCTAAACAAGTCATTGTTGAAGGAGTTCTATATGCTAGTGGTCTCTATTGCTTCTCTCAGATGCCCTTGGAGCTCCTTAGCTCATCTCATTTACATTGTAACTTGAGTCCCTCTACTGGTATTCAAACCTGTGTTGCATCTCATTCTAATTCATTTTCTGAAAATAAGTGTAACATTAGTGTGCTTTGGCATAATAGGCTTGGCCATGCCAATTTTACTGTTGTTGATCATGTACTAAATTTGTGTAATACACATTCATGAAATAACCATGATACTCATTTTTGCAAATCTTGTAACCTTGATAAGGCACATAGACTTCATGCCCCTTTAACTAGCATTTTATATCATAAGCCATTTTGATATAATTTACTCTGACTTGTGGGGTCCTTCTTTGAAGGTGTGAAAAGTACACAAGAATGGGAGTTGAATTGTATTTCGCGTTTTCTTTAATTTAACTTCTGATTAGAGTTTCAGAATCAGAACTGGTGTTCAAATTCTTTTTTAATTCATTGGTAGAAAATATAACAGAAGTAAATAAATAACAGCAGAAGACACAAAAGATTTATCTCGGCTCTTCTCTTAACTGAGAGTACTCCAGTCATCTTGCCTCACAAGAGATTTTCATTATAACCATTTCATGATTACAATCGCTTATGCTTCTACATAAGTCTTTTACACTTTCTTTAACCAACTGTATGAGACTTTCTTGCTTAGAGCACATGTCTAAGACTTTCCTTGCTCACACCCGCTGACCGAGCCAACTGCTTCAAAGGTCCTCTGATTGAGACTTACCCTTGCTTATAGCAGATGTCTAAAACTTCTTGCTCGCATCCTCTAATCGAGCCACCTGCTCTTCTAGCCATCCAGACTGATACTTCCTTGCTCAAACAGCACTTGAGACTTCCTTCTCACGCCCCTCAAACGGAGACTTTCCTTTCTCAATCAGACTAGCTGAATAAGACTTTCACAGCTCAAGCCGTTAAGCAATGAGACTTGCATGACTTAGGCATCTTGGCTCAAGACTTGTTGCTTGATTCCTAATGAGACAAGACTTCTGATCAAGCACATAGTAAGAGACTTAATCTAAAATACTGAAGGCTCAGTGTTAGATGCCTAATTGTGCTTATTTGAGCTATCAAATGTGGGCATCTTTCGTTCCTTTTTGTCAAGTTTGTGTGCAAAACCGCCTTGCTTTTATTGATATGCAACATTATGTGAAATGCTCTTGGTCCTTTTAATTTGTGTGTTATTGTGCAGTATTTAAGCATGAAAGAATAGAATTTTAAGACATAAGAAAGAAGGCAAAGGAATCAAGAAAGAACAAGAGCAAAAGCATGTTCGCTAGGCGAACATCTGGCGTGCGTTGCAGCGAGATGTTCACTAGGCGAGCTCGTAGCGAGCTGCTAGCGAACACTCCCAGACTTGGGCAGAATCAAATTGGCATCATTCGCTGGCAGCAAGGAAGGTGGCGAAGAACTCGCTAGGCGAGCACCTAGCGAGCCAGTAGCGATGCATTCCAGAATCAAATCCTCATTCCTCGCTAGCATGTTCGCTAGGCGAGGCTGTAGCGAGCGTTCGCTGTTAGCTCGCTAGGCAAACAAGGCCACGAGCGTGACATGACATCAACTTTTTCTATAAGTAGCAATGTGTACTTTTTGAGACCATACCATATTGTTGCACCCTAAAATTTGCTCAACCTATTTCACCTGGTTTATGTTTCAATTGCATTGTCATTTGCATACTAAGTCATGTACATAGTCTAATCACTTGCATAGCATAGCATAACAAGTCATCTAACAGGGGATCAAGTGTCATTCTTATCATAATGAGGCCCATCAAGGGTTTTATTCAGGTTCAAGACCATCCAAGTAATCAAGAAATGAGTTGAAGCTTTGAAAAGTTTGAAGGTCAACCAGTGGATTTCTCTCCCAATCTTGGGGATATGTTGAAGATCATCAATGAGTGTGTGAGCCATGGAAGGTGTACAAAGATCATGGAAGACATGGAGGGTCATCAAGGCTTAATGAAAGGTTGTGGAATTCATGAATTGATATGTGTATACATGTGTGGTGTTGTGCCAAGGAGAAATCAAAAGGAATCAAGAAGAAGAGGAGGTGCTAAATTAGGGTTTCAGTGTAAAATCCCCTAATTTAGGCCTAACTTCCAAGCCAGATAAGTCAAAATGCAAGCTTCAAATGAATTCTTGGTCAACACGAAACTTGTAGAGCTTCTCATTAGTTTTAATTTGAGTACTAGAAGTCTTCAAGAAGATTTGTAGAACTCAAGTTATGGTTCTTGCAAGTTATGGGTCCCTAGAGGACACTGAAATTTATCTGTGAAAGTCACTTGACTTCCAAGCAACTTTTGCCCATCAAGGAGTTTTCAAATGGATTCTTGGTCAACATAAGAGTTGTAGATTTTGATCTTAGCTTTAATTTTAGTACTATAAGTCCTCAAGGGGGTTTGTGGAACTCAAGTTATGGTCTTGGCAACCCAGGGGTATTTTGGGAAAGTTGAATTACAGGTCATTTTTGAGCATAGGTCAAAATCTCCATCTTCCCCTCTTCAAATGAAAAATTGTTCAACATGGAATGTGCTTAAAATGATGTTTTTAGGTAAAATAAGTCATCATGGTGGATTGATCGGCTTATTTCAAAAAGTCACTTAAAATGGCCTAAAAAAAGGGAATAGGTCAAATAAAGTTTAGTGGGAAAAATCAAATTTTGGGTTAGAGGTCACA